CATTTGGTCTGGGGGGAAGAATGGGAGTGGCGCATTAGAAGCAGACAATGATTACTCAGGTAATCCCAACTAGACCGAAAACTCGAATAGGTTTTCAATATTTGCGCAATTTCTTAAACCACGTTAATTCTAGTGACAGGTCATTACTAAACAAATACACAAAAGGCAATATTTGAAGCGATCACCGAAAACAGTTGTATTTTTAAGCGCAAGCTGTTCTGCAGGCACGTTTAATTCTTGATTCTGACAGCTTCTTTAGAGATTGCCCTATCGCGACACGGATATTCTATCAGCATGGTAACTAATTTGAGCAAATGATGATTAAGTGAATGCTTTTCTCGGTTTACCAAAATTTACCTTTTAAATCGTCTTCTAAAAACACTCTCCTTTCCAATAAAAACAGTATTTTCCTTACTAACGATGACTGCGCGCGTTCGCCTAGAAGACGTCTATATAGTTTTGATACATCTTGTGAGGTTTAGACGAACAGAATCATTTCGAATGGCAAATTTTATTTTTTAATTGAATTTTTGCGTAGCTGTACCCAGGGCTAGCACATGGGAATTTCTTACGCCCTATACCAACGGCGACTAAGCAATTGTAACTAACAATTTGAGATTAAATATTTTTGTAACTTAAAATATTTAAGAATATAATATTTGTTGTTAAAGGTGGTGGTGGTGGTGGATTTTACAGCAATGGACGCAGCAGTTCTCATTTTGGCGGTTCCTATGGCCGAGGCGGGGAAGGAGGGAGAGGATTTATTCAGGGGGGTGCAGGAGGACGTGCTCGCTATCATAATGCTGTCGGTGGATTTGGAGGAGGTGGAGGGGCGTATGGAGGCGGAGGAGGTGCAGGAGGAGGTGGGGGATATTCTGGTGGAGCATCAGGAAATAATGATAATCAATCTTGTGGTGGAGGAGGTGGTTCTTACAACTCAGGAAAGAAGCAAGCAAACGTAGAAGACGTGAATGAAAACGGAGATGGTTATGTCGAAATAAAACGTGTTGTCTAAAACATTATCGGTTTTTAATTTGCTATGTTTAGTGATCTTTATCGCGCTTTGGTTGCTGAGAAACAATAATAATGTTATAATATAATAATAATAATAATGTTTAATTGATCAATTTTGCAGTCTTACGACTGAATTGCAATTGAATTTACAGGCAAAGAATTTTAGATAAAATATGGAATATGTTTACTATATTTACAACATGTTGCTATAAAATTCTATTAAATTTAAGATTACTGTAAAATGTTCCGCTACGATAAAGTATTAATACTAAGACTATACTAATATGCTTAAAGTTTGATTTTTTCGCATAATTTGGGATAAAAGAGTTTAATAACCTATTCGTATTAATAATAGGAAGATTAAATCTTCTCATTTCTCTAAAATTATGTGTTGGTAAGTTTTCTTTAGGTAGTAAATGGCGTAATTTATGATCATCTTTTGTTTCGATGGACGAGAATAGCTTTTGTTATAACTTTTCTCTTCTGTCCTTCAGTGTTAATAATTTTGCTTCCTTCAATGCGACTTTTGGACTTGATTCCGGGTAGATTATCCGCAAGGCTCGATTTTGGACACGTTCCATATCCACCGACAAATAATCAGGAAGGCCTGAGTGGAAAACTTGGCAGCCGTATTCTAAGATGGATCTAATGCATGCACAGTAGAATTGAATCAAGGAATGATGATCTACACCTGCACGTTTTAACTGCCTTAATAAGTATAGTCGTTTTGATGCTTTTAATACAATATTTTCGATATGACTGTTCCATTTTAGGTCTTCCGTGATGGTCATACCCAGTAGTTTAGCTGATTTAACAAGTTCAAAGCGTTCGCCATTTAGAATCAAACCATCATCAGTAGAGGGTCTTCTAGTAAAGTCAATTCGGAGCTCTTACCACTTTATCGGATTTAACTGAAATTTATTTTCATTGGACCATTTAGCAACTTGGTCTATTGTATCTTGTAATCTACTTTCCATGTTCCTTAAGATGACTTCAGAAATGGTCGTGTCGTCTGCAAAATTTCCATATACTATTTGTGGGGAACCATTGATACGTAGATCGTTAATCATGGCTAAGAACGCCATGGACCAATCCTGGTTCCTTGTGGAACGCCCGCTGGAACTTGTAGGAAGTCGGATACACCTTCGGTTGATATCTTTACTCGCTGTAATCTATTTCGTAGAAAGTCCGTAATCCAATTTACGATTGTGGGTTTTAAACCATAACTGAGTAATTTTGCAATTAGCAAATTATGATCAACCAAGTCGAAGGCTTTCCTGTAATCGAGTAAGGCTACTCTTATCGCTGAGCCTGTGCCATCGGTTTCAGTTAGCCATTTGTGTAACATTGAGATAAGAGCAAACGTTGTACACGAGCCTGGTACAAAACCAAATTGTGATGGATCCAAGGATCTAAGCAAAGTCGGCCTCAGTCCTCTGTCAATGATGAATTTTTCTGCCACTTTTGATAAGGTTGACGTCAGAGAAATTGGCCTTAGATCTTTATTAAAGTCCGTGATCTTTGATTGTTTAGGGATGGGGGGAACGTCAGCCATCTTCCATGCTTGTGGGACTTTGCACGTTTGGAATGAGCAGTTGATAATATCAGCAACGGCAGGTGCTAATATATCGGCGTATGTCTTCAGTACCCAGTTTGGTAACTTGTCCGGGCCATTCGCTTTTGTGGCGCTTAATTCACGTAAAGTTTTTGCGACCACCATTTCGGTAACTTGTATTGGTTCGTCGTCGTCTTCCTTCAAGACACATACGTCATTAGTCAGCGGATTGTAGTCTGCCATACACTGATAAAGGCTTCATTGATCTTATTTGCTAGTTCGTAATCGTTGCAATTTAAGTTCGTAGTCAAGCTTGATCGAAAATCTGGGTTATGCTTTTCCGAAGAGCCACATAACAGTTTGATTTCGTGCCACCATCTGTGCGGTTTAATTTCCTTAGTCCACGGACTTTAGATAGATAATAACTTTTTCGGCATCGCTTCCTTTCACGGTTTACTTTATTCCTTAAATGCCTGAATAAACCATCCTTTCCTCGTGAAAACGCCTTTTGCCTTTGAATAATGAGCCGTTTAAGCTGGTTAGTCATCCATGGACGATCAGACACATGAACTTTTATCGAACGTTCCGGCATCAGGATATCTAATCCACAATGGATAAGATCGGTAAAAATTTCTAATTTCTCATCAACAGTCGGGGCGGTTGATAGCACGTCTTCCCAAGCTATGTTTGACAGAAATCTCCCAAGACTTCCAACTTTACTTGGTCTTCTATCCCGTACTTTGATTAATCTTTTATGGCACCCGGTTCTTTGTCGCCTTGTTGGAAATATTAAGATAGTTATATGATCGGATAAGCCAAATGGAGGGCTAGGAATAGGTTCAGTGTAGAATTTATGTAAGTTAGTAAACACTTGATCCAGGGTATTTGCACCTCTTGTGGGAAAGGTCACCATGTGTTTAAGCTGGAAGCACCTGGCAGTTGATTTAAACTCTAGTTGGTTGAAGTCTCCAGCCAAAATGATCGCACTATTAGTGTGTATGGTTTCAACGCGTTCTAACGAGTTTTTTAGATGATCCAGCATTGCTTTATTATCCGAATTGGGTGGATGGTAAATAACCGCTACAACTATATTATGGAATCCACGGGGCAGCCTTTCTGGACGAAGTAGTAGCCATAGTATTTCGTATTCGTCCGCTTGGAGATCTAACAGAATTTTACTTTCAATAGAGTCTTTAATGTATGCACAAACTCCCCCATGTGAACTGTTAATGCGGTCACGTCGAAATAATTGGTATCCGTTTATTTTAATTGACTGGTCTGGTATCGATTCTTTAAGCCAAGTCTCTGTAAAAAAGGCTATATCAGGGTTTTCCAGGCTAATCGTATAGGCTATTTCGTCAATCTTTGGTACAATTGACATCGTATTGGACAGTAGGAGAGATGGAACGAACTGAAGATTGTTGCAAGGTGCTGACTTTTGGACAGACTTATTCAATTAGATCTATTAATATTGTTAACATCCGTCAAAGCATCATGCTTTACAATATTTACGTACTTAAGGTTAGCTATGTTCCGCGCATTTTGCCTAGATCTATGGCCATGAGCGCGAGAAGATATTCTGACTTGAATTGTGTGAGCCATTACACGTACGTTGATAAAATTCCCTTATGGGTTAAGTTTATTTCATGCTTCGCAAGATGCTCCTCCTTTGGGCGCCAAGGCTTACAAGTAACAAATTTTGGCCAGAAATTATCTTCTTGCACGAGTGAACTAGCAGCCAGAGGGACATGGATCTTCGATGAAAGGTTCCACTGCGCCGACTAGGGAAAATGGAGATATATGTTGGGACTATATTTTCTTCTTTAGGTAAGATAAAATCTGATTTTCATTCACGTCTTGGGCGATGCCAGATAGAAAAAATTTCTTTATTTTCTTCGCTTTCGCTCTACTCCGATAAAACCATCGGACTCGCTAGAAGGCACCTTGTTTCTGCTTGGTGATTTCTGCATTTATTACTCGTATCAATTGCATGAGATGACTTTACAGTGTTTGCGTAAGTTAATTTACATTCTTGCGATGAAGTCAGCTCAGCACTTGTTGTATCATTATTAGGTTTTAACTGTTCGTTCTCGCTTAATTTCACGACAACAAGGCTATCATTAGTATTTCGCATGCATCATCAATAACAATGGGTTCTTGATTAGTGAGATCGTTAACAGATTCCGGCCCATTGATCATATTAGGATTTGCGAATCGTTCAAGACAAAAGGCTTCACAATTGTTGCATCATTAATGTTATCTTGATTAACATATTCAATTGTTCGCTCGCTCGCTTCATTCGGAGGCGCTGCCGAGTTTAAATCGTCTTGGCCGCCTTTATCTTTATCCATAAAGCTCTGGAAATGCGAAATCACCGATGTTATGTGAGAAATCGTCCCCGATAAAGCCCGAATCGCTTCCGAGTTTACCAACTGGCCTTGTTGAAGGTCATCTAAAATTACATTGACTGTAGATAGACGATTGCATGCCCGACTGCCGAGCGTCCAAAATGGGAGCTTCGGAAGAGCATATCAGCTTACAAAACTTTTGTGTAATCTCGTTCGCTCTCGCACCATCAAGGTACAACAGATTCTTATTCTTTTTCCACAATATGGTAGATTCATCAAAAGTGAAAAGTTTTCTATCCCCACCAGGCTGCGACCATATTCCTTCGAGATCTAGGTCGTCCTTTATGAACTGCTTTAAAGATTCGTAGTCGCCACTCCATGCAAAGCATAATTTTCCGCTTAATGTTGACGCCATTAAAGTTAACACATTTAGCTGATCAGGTTTATACCAATTATAAACGATAAAAGATCAGTTTATTTGAGAGACTTGTGGAGCTTCAAAACACACGTCTGAACTCACGAAACACGTGGGTTACAAGGCATAATAATCTGATCAGGGGCGTAACTAGAACGATAATTGGGGGGGAATATTCATATATTCAGTTCTGCCCGACGGATTTCTATTGTAAGCTATTGCAATTACAAAAGAAATCCGTAGGGCAGAACTGGATATATGAATATTCACCCCCCCCAATTATCCTTCTAGTTACGCCACTGAATCTGATGTATTTTATAAGCAACAATTGTTGGAATAATAAATTAGCCTAAAAAATTAGGTACATGTGTAACTTTACTTTGTTTTATAAATAAAATGATTTTCTTTCACCATAAATTGAATGCAATCATTTTCAAGTCAAAGAGCAATTCTGAGTGACTGTATTTTGGGGTTCTACTTGGAAAGTTGACATTCAGCAGAATGTTTCTCACTGTTGGACGAAATGCAGATATTCCACATATTGAGAGATAAATTTAAACCAAAACGTCATGATGAAATATCCAAACACCAGGGTGAGTGACGAACACGACATTACGTCAGATTTTGCAGGTGTAAAGTGATAAATTATAAATCTGAGTAAGAGGAATCATTTTTTAAAATACAACTTTGCTCCCTCTTTATACAGCAGTATAATTGATTTCATTTATTTGGATGTAACCTGATCAATAAATGTTGCAATCATATAGTATTACCATTCCTATCGTTTCCGGGCGTTAAACTGCGTGATGTTTATTCTACGCCCAGGATTCAGGGTCAACCCAATGTTTTTCATGCATGTTTTCATGATGCGAAAGTTGCAAATTGTCATATTTTCAGGTAATATACCGGAAATATTTGAAGCAGTTCGAAGGAGGACTTTTTTTCTCATTTTATAATAATGCGTTTAAAAGTGAATCTGACCAATGGCTGTTTATTGATTTTTTGATATATTTTATTTACAAGCTTCGTCATTATTATCATAAAGTCACAAGATATAACTACAATTGAATACAAATACATTACAACATACAGTTATTATAATTATATACGTATACGCACGATAGGATAATCGACACGATACGGTACAATACAATGCAACACAAAAGAATTAGAATGGGATGACTGCATGGGACTCCACAACAGTTAAAAACAAAATTAGCTACTTGCACTTCAATTATTGACATATAAATGAAGAAACAACTATTTATAATAACTAATGAAATTAAAACAGCTTATGAAAAAAGTCAAGTCCGTACATATAATGATTATAAACAAACGCTTCGCGTCGATTTCGAATTTCTATACTTTATAAAATTACGATGATGAAATTATGCTGCCTGGTTAACAACGTTATACTGATGAACCCACCATGCTTTAAAGCATGCACCCGCACATGCGCGGAGCTATCTCATGTGATCTCCAAACTTTATGTGCCATGTGATAGAATTTCAAGGAAACTTCAACTTCCAGGTCAGTCTAGTTTGACTTCCCAAATATTCGGTATAAAAATATTAAAGCCTTCTTAAACTGAAGCACGAACATGACGCACTATTAACAGTAGACACTTAGACAAACTGTTGCATCATGCTACTCCACCAGCCCACTACGACGATAATTTATTGAAATATAGGATAGGATAATGTCCAAATGTTTCTTAAATGCCAGCAATGGCAATGCTGACAAACAAAAATCGCTGAAATCGAGATGCACGTGAGAATAATTATAGGGTTGACCTGACGCAACCTTAAAGACGAGTTAATATTGAATGTCAGTCCAGCTTTGCGCATATAAAAAACATTGTAGGCTAATTTAAAAAACATCGAAATTCCTCATGTCTAGGTTTTTCAAAAAATACCAAATCGGTCACGATTTGTCAGAAATCGGTCATTTTCTGCCAGTGCTTCCTCGCTAAGCAAAACCACTCCAAGCACCCCGCGTGCTCGCCTTTTTTCAGCTGACCTCTATACCAAAAATGAATGCAACGTTATATATTTTACTATTAAAGCGCGCCTGATTACGAGGCTGTGCAATGTTTTAGTCGAACATACCGGAAAATGAATACTCGATCATGGTTGAACCATGGTTTACCAGTATATTCTACCAATTCTACCATTGTCGAGTATACTTATTTTCTGTATATTCTATACACCATAGTCGAGTATTTTATTTCCGGTATATTCGACAATGATCGAACATCAATTTTCAGTATTTTCGAATATGGTCGAGTATTCAATTTCCGGTATATTCGATCATGGTTGAGCATCAATTTTCGGTATATTCGACCATGGTCGAGTATTCCATTTTTCGGTATATTCGACCATGGTCCAGTATTCATGCCCCGGTATATTCAACCATGGTCAAGTAGTCAATTTTCGGTATTTTCGACTATTGTCGAGTAATCCGTTTTTCGGTATATTTGACCATGGTCGAATTCTCGAACATGGTCGAACATACCAGAAAATGGAATTGATGGAATGATATCTGACAATATTTTACGGAACTATAGACCGTATAGGCTCAGCATAATTATTATAACCCCAAATATTGGATATAACAAGATCTTTTTATAGACTCTGTAGAGCAAGGTGATGTTATGACGAACTCGGTCAAGGCGCTAATACGTAAAGGTGAACTTTTGGAGAGAAAAAAATGTCCAGACTATTATTCTTCTCCTGATGATTGTCTCTAGTTAAGTCACAGAATACCTACAGGGGCCGGTTGTTCGATAGGCGTTTGGCTTAAACGGTGGCTAAGTTCAAAATGGAAAAAAATTATCTATTTATTGAACAACTGAACTGAAATATTTCAATGTAAATAGTTTAATTTTCAATGGAAGTTCATATTTAATGCATAAATGTAGGCTCAATTATTCACAAGATGTATGAGAACACTTTGGCTTATCCACCGTTTCAGCTAAGCGCCTTTCGAGCAACCGGCCTCAGAAGGAGAACTCTTTTTGTTTTTTCTTGCATACGTGGATTCGTCACTCAGGAAGTACCGTAAAGCAGGAAATCACCACCCTGCCAACAGCCCCGTTTTTAATATGGGCAGGTGGGTGATTGCTTCCATTTGCGGTACTTGCGAAAAACAATGGTTATCCCCTGAAGATATTCTGTGGTTTAGTCGAAACGTAGAAAAGTTTTCAAAATGTTTACTCTTTACAGAGTCTCTATTGTTTTAATGTCCGATAAGTTTTCATTATTTGATATCAATGAATTGAGAGGCAATGACCATAAACATTATGTAGAAAAACGCAATACTGATATTCTTTTAAAGCTTTCCGTAAAACGGAACTCTTGTGCACCTTTGATATATTTTTGAATCTCTGTTCAAGAACTAGCGCCAGCTCATTTCAATTGTTTTTGCCAGCAAATGCAGCTGCTAGCTGCCAATGGCTTAATCTCCACAAATAAACAAGTTTCATAGAAACTGACGCCCGTTTTTAATACTTCCCCAATCCATTTTGAAATTCTAGTACTGAATAATGCGTTCCACGCCAACTTTACAAGTCTTAGAGCAACTGGTCGTCTTGGTCCTTCATCCCTGGGCATCTACTATGTGGGGAAAGATAATGACAACATGGTGATTCTCAGGAATGGGATACAGTTCTGGACAGTTCCCTACACTGGAACATACAAAATCACTGCAGTTGATGCAGCTGGAGGACATGATAAATACGGCTCAACTGCTCGAGGTCGTGGGGCTTATATCAGGGGTGAATTTAAATTTCAGAAAGGAGATGTCATTAAAATATTGGTTGGACAGACAGCTGCAGTGAATTCTGGGAGTTGGTCTTCAGGGGGAGGTGGCGGATCATTTCTAGCGACATCGTCAAACACACCGCTTATTGTTGCTGGGGGCGGGGTTGGCGTTGAAAATCTCAGGAACAGAATGGCAAACTGTGATGCAAATGCAAGAACATCTGGAAGAAGAAATCAATGTGAACGCTCGTGTGCCATTTGGTCTGGGGGGGAGAATGGGAGTGGCGCTTCCCAAGCAGACAACGATTACTCAGGTAATCCCCCATAGACCGAGAACTCGAATAGGTTTTCAATATTTGCGCAATTTCTTAAACCACGTAAATTCTAGTGACAGGTCATTACTAAATAAATATACACATAAGGCAGTATTTGAAGCGATCACCGAAAACAGCTGTTCAAAACGACGCATACCCTCTGCAGGCACGTTTAATATATTTGTTGATTCTGACAGCTTCTTTAAAGAGTGCCCTATCGCTACACGGATATTCTATCAGCATAATAACTTATTTGAGCAAATGATGATTAAGTGAATGCTTTTCTCGGTGTACGAAAACAGACCTTTTGAATCGTCTTTTAAAAACACTCTTCTTCCAATACAAACACCATTTTTTTCACTAACGATGAGTGTGCGCTTTCGCCTGGAAGACGTCTACCACGTTTTGATACATCTTGTGTAGGTTTAGACAAACAGAATCATTTCGAATCGCAAATTTTCCTTTTTAATTTAATTATTGCACAGCTTTACCCATGGCTAAAACTTGGGAATTTCTTACGCCCTATACCAACTGCGACTAAGCAATTGTAACTAACAATTTGAGATTAATTATTTTTGTAACTTAAAAGATTTAAAAATATAATATTTGTTCTTAAAGGTGGTGGTGGTGGTGGATTTTACAGCAATGGACGCAGCAGTTCTCATTTTGGTGGTTCCTATGGCCGAGGTGGGGAAGGAGGGAGAGGATTTATTCAGGGGAGTGCAGGAGGACGTGCTGGCACTAATAATGCTGTCGGTGGATTTGGAGGAGGAGGAGGAGCAAATGGAGACGGAGGAGGTGCAGGAGGAGGTGGAGGATATTCTGGTGGAGCATCAGGAAATAATGATAATCAATCTTGTGGTGGAGGAGGTGGTTCTTACAACGCTGGAAAGACGCAAGCAAACGTAGAAGACGTGAATGAAAACGGAGATGGTTATGTCGAAATAAAACGTGTTGTTTAAAACAGTATCGGCTTTTAATTTGCTATGTTTAGTGATCTTTATTGCGCTTTGGTTGCTGAGAACAAGACTTAATAATAATCTGATGTATTTTATAAACAAAAATGATGGGAATAATAATTTAGCCTAAAAAATTAGGTACATGTGTAACTTTACTTTGTTTTATAAATAAAATGATTTTTTTCCTTTCTTTCACCATAAATAAATGCAATCATTTTCAAGCCGAAGAACAATTCTGAGAGACTGTATTTTGGGTGGTGGGGTTTTTTGTCTACTCGGAATGTTTCTCGCTGTTGGACGAAATGCAGATATTCTACACATTGAGAGATAAATTCAACCAAAACGTCATGATAAAATATCCAAACACCAGAGAGAGTGACGAACGCGACATTACGTCAGATTTCAGAGGTGTAAAGTGATAAATTATAAATCCGAGTAAGAGGAATGATTTTTTTAAATACAACTTTGCTCCCTCTTCATACAGCAGTATAATTGATTTCATTTATTTTGATGTAACCTGATAAATAAATGTTACTATCATAGTATCACCATTCCTATATCGTTTCCGGGCTTTCTTCTGCGTGATGTTTTATTCTACGTCCACCCATGTTTTTCATGAATGTTGTCATGATGCGAAAGTTGCAAATTGTAATATTTTCAGGTCAAAATTTTTCTCTATGAGGGAGCTATAACCTTGTTTTTCTTTCTGTAGATATGAAACTATACCGGAAATATTTGAAGCAGTTTGAAGAAGGACGTTTTTTCTTATTTTATGATAATGTGTTTAAAAGTGAATCTGGCCAATGGCTGTTTATTGATTTTTGATATATTTTATTCACAAGCTTCGTTATATGATAAAGTCACAAGATATAGCCTAGCTACAATTGAATACAAGTACATTACAACACACATTTATTATTTTACGTGTACGGCACGATAGGATAAACGACGCGATATTGGACAATACAATGCAACACAAGACAAGTAGAATGGAATGACTGGAGCTCCACAACAGTTAAAACTATAATTACTTGCAGCTCTATTAATTAACATATAAATGTAAAAACAACTATTTATAACTTATTTATAACTATAATTATATATAAGAGCTCATGAAACAAAGAAGTTATTTCAAAGTGCAAGTCAAGTCCGTACATAAAGCCCCGCACAGACGAGCAAGTTTTCCTTGACAAGTTTTTTGACACGTTCACTTGCTCGTGTGTACGACGAACAAGTTTTCCTTGACAAGTTTTCCTTGACAAGTTTTATTTGTTCGTGTGTACGTAAAAAAATTTTTCTTGGCAAGTTTTACGAGTCCGCATTACTGAAGTACGTAAATATATTGATGAATATATTGATGCGCAGTAGCCTACTGCGCATTTCCTTGTCAAGTTTTCCTTGACGGCCGTACACACGAACATTTTTCCTTGTTGAAAAGCTGGCATGACTAGCTTTTGAACAAGGCTCCTTGTCAAGGAAAAATTGTCAATTTTCGTGCGTACACACGGGCAAATAAAACTTGTAAAGGAAAACTTGTCAAGGAAAACTTGCTCGTCTGTGCGGGGTTTAAGTAAACAAACTATACTGTCTGAATATCCAACAATATCTATAGGCTCCCCATCAATTTGAATTAAATATATAAATGAGAGTTTGTTCGGAGACATACGAAAATTTGTGAAATTTTGCATCAGAAAGCCCTCGCATCATGAGCAGAACTGGTGCACAAGAACAGATTTGACTTCTACTTTAAGAAGTTGCAAATACTTGCCCAAAGCAATTGAAAAATGCTTAATAAATATAAACGAACAAATTAAACGAAATAATGTGGAAAACTAAAGTTATCTTTAAAAAATCCAATACAACGTCAAATTAACCAAATCAAATTAATACGATAAGAGCAAAGCTGTGGAGGAAGATATCGAATTCATATATTTAGTGAAATAGCAAAAAATAGCAAATGAATAAAGATAGCACAATTTCACACAATCCAAACTTACAAACACTGATATTTTAAATGTAAACTTTATCTCCAAAAAACGTTTTCCACACGCTTGCTACTACAAATATTCGAAATCAGAAAGATGATATGTCGCCGCTACAAGAGTTGTTAATATTATGGGAAATTGATTTGTTTACGTATGATTATGGCGTTAATTGCACGACCTTATTTTCCTATTATTCATTAATTATATATTTTCTGGACGCAGAAGATACATAATTAATTTCATAATTCCTATCTGATTGTTTGTTATAATTAACACCGCACTTTACTTCAGGATTTCCGTTGACTTGGAAGTAACAACAGTCAGCATCAACTAAAGTTATTAGAACAATAGAAAAAGTTCCTTTGTAGTTAAAGTATAGAAAACCTAAATTGGGTGGAGCTTGAAATGTAATGTGCTTGCCATCTGACGCCCCCACACATTTTGGAGCCAAAACTTGTCATTCACTCTGATTGGGGACTTTCATGCACTGATTTACCAGGCATGTCCAAATTGCTTGAAATGCTTCTGCTACAAAACTGCCAACAGTGAATTCACCAATACGATAACCAAATCCAGTAGTTTTATATGAATCATCTGTTGCGAAAGATCTGGAAAAATGTTAATCAATCTAAAACAATTCCATTTTTTTTAATTCCACATCAGCTAGGCCATTTTTTTTAAACAAGTATTTAAAACGACACCTTTGCTCGGAGTGAAAGCTGTTATTTTCATATACAGTTTAACTTATATGAACAAGCATACAAACAGTCCTAGCCTGGAAGACTCAAAAGCCTGCTAATATCACTCATCCTTATTCATCTTCTTCATTTACCATACAGACAGTGAAACATTTTTTAGTTTTTTTTCTGACAGTGTATTATTTATACAGGCTCTGTCAGGGAGGCCAGAGTCAGAGTGGGACATACTATATTACTAGTTGTTGTTATATTTGCCATTCGTGGTATCACACCACAAAAATGACCTACTTTTACCCACTTAGCTATCACACCACAAAAATTACCTACTGTTGTCTTTACCTTAAGCAGATAGCCAATCTCTGTTGTGGAATTATAGGGTTTCGGTAATTTGTGGTTTGTTTGCGAACATGAGTACCAACGATAACATGTTTTCAAATGTTTTCGGGTGTCATTCTGAAGTACTGGGAAAACCGCTGTTCATCCAGTCGAAGCTCCTGTACGAGACGATGAAATTCTCCAAGTTGTTGCCAAGGTGAATCCAAAAGTACTAGTCCGTCTTCGACGCGGATGCCGATGAAGCAGTAAAAAGAAATGCGCCTGGGGCTGGTTGTATCAAGCCCAATTAGCTTAAACGGTGGATGGGTCAAAATTAGATTAGCACTCTTACAACTCTTTTGAATGAGTCAACATGATTATTATGCACTGAATATGTAGTTGTAAACAGTAGCTTTGTATTAAAGTAAAAAACATTTTGTTCGCTTGTTGGATAAAACGGCAAACTTGCTTTCTATTAAGAACTTATCAACCGTTTAAGCTAAACGGACTTGATACAACCGGCCCCTGGTCTGTACGCGCATTTTAATTCCTGCGAATTTCAGTACGAGAATCGTCATTCTCGCGTGTTGTTTGCTTACGCCATCAGTCAAAACTGGTAGGGTCGCCGAGTTTTTCAGTATTATCCATTTTTTGCATAAACCTGGACAATAACATAGATAATGAGCTGTATTGTATTTCCATCTAGCCTCCAAACCATCTATATCCTAAAAACTTTGAATTAACTTTCTTCCTCTTCCTCTTGTTGGGAATGCTTAAATTTCATATATAATTGGTACATGTGATAAAACGTCTCGCAGGTGAAATAATACAGTGGCCTAGCCAGCCTGACGATTTAGTCATGCTATGCGAATTTTATGTTATAACCATTATAAATTTCCTTAGAAATTCATTGTTTTAACAGCCAATGAGCACCAAAATATTAGCATAGCATATATGACTAAATTGTCGGGCTCGCTACGCCGCTACGCCAAGAATATTAAAAACGTTTTCTATCAAATACTTGTTTTTGGTTTTATACTTGGAACTACTAAAAAATTGTTGGATGAAGTAACAAAAATTCTTAATTGAACGTTTTGCTCTCTGTGTTTATAGTGCTCTGTGTTTATAGTGCAAAATCGTATGGAATCTTCTTGATATCTCTCAATTTTGAAAAGGTGATGTCAAATCCCAATCTCGCAGCAGGTTTTAAAATATTCAGAGTGTATAAACGACTGAACAAGAAACTTTAATAAAATGGGGCTCTTACCGTGGCCTTTCCCCTGAAATTTGAGGTCGAGGGACCCTCGTCAAATTGAGTCTCTTCCTCGTGTTAGGAATGCCTAAAATTGATAGATAAGAATTGGTAAAGATGGTAAAAACGTCTTTCAAGTGAAAGAATTAAGAATACTGCAGACGTTTTCTATCAAATACTTTTTTGTTTTATACTTGGAACTACTGAAAATTGTTGGATGAAATAATAGAAATTATTAATTGAACGTTTTGCTCTCTAAAGGTGTCAATACTGCGAAATTGTACGTAGACTCCTTAATAATTATCTATCTCCTAATTTTGAAAAGGTGATGTCCAAAACCAATCTCGCGACCGGTTTTAAAAAATTCAGAGTATATTAAAGATTGAACAAGAAACTTTAATAAAATGGGGCTCCTACCGTGGCCTCTCTTTCTTCCTCTTCCTCATGTTGGGAATTCTTAAAATTGATAGAAAAAAATTGGTGCAGGTGATAAAAAAGTCTCGCAGGTGAAAGAATTAAGAATACTGCAGACGTTTTCTATGAAATACTTTTATCATTTAATTTATTTTATACTTGGCACTACTTGAAATTGTTGGATGAAGTAATAAAAATTTTTAATTAAATGTTTTCCTCTCAGAAGGTGTTTATACTGCGAAATTCTATGGAAACTCTTTAATATTTCGTTCACGTATAAGTTTGTGAGTTGACATTTTCGCCAATTACCTCTCGTGCAATTTTGAAAACGTGATGTCAAAAAACGATCCCGGCAGGCTTTAAAATATGTATAGAGTATGTTTGCATGCAACTGAACAAGAAAATTTTAAAGAAATGGCGTTCCTACCGTGGCCTCCCCCGTTCCTCCTGTATTCGTTCTTTCCTCCCGCCTTCTTCTATTCTAACTGGGCATCAGCTTCCGCCTCAAATTCCCCTATGCTTGCTCATACATCTCCCTATTAATTTTAGGCTTGACCTCGAAATCTGATGCTGGTCTCGCCATAAAGTTAAATTCTTTCTTTCGACAGATCGCCTGTTGAATTAAATTTTTCAGTATTGAAAAAAGTCTATATAGCTACAGATAAGAAAGACAGCTTACCTTTCATACAATCCAATGAACAGGATGGTGTAATGCTTAGGTATTTAGCCACCACCTCGGAAAAAATACGAAATAAAGTAAACGCAAGCAAATTCACAAATATTTTGTAGCAGCACATCTCTTTCTTTCACCTACTTTTGTAGGCCACTTTCTGAACCCTTTAATTTTGGCCCACACCAAATATCCGGCCTTATATATTGAAAAGATTTTTTATTTGCTTTCGGCATCTAGTGGAAAAATAAAAATTAGTTATGAAGTAATTTGCAGTATGGTGCTGAATGTAGCAAGTGAGCTTAGAAAGCTTCCTTTACCGCGGAAGACCTTGTATTATTCTGGCTGAATCACCCATCTTGTATCTCTGCAATTATTTACTTGTTTTCGGCATCTAGTCGAAAAAAAGAAATTATCAAGCAATTTGCAGTATGGTGCTGAATGTGTAGCAATTTTTTGAGGTTACTAATAATCTTCCTCTACCGCGAAAGACCATTCTTGTCATGGCTAGCTAAGCTATAATAACATACTGTTAAGTTATTACCTATAACTGTAAATCAACAACAATTTCATAAAGAAATTTATGCGACCCTTGCTTAGTTGTTGACAAGCTACAACTACATTCAAAAACATACTCGATGGCCCTCTAAGCCCTCTTACGTAAGTTTGTGACTTGAAATTTTCGCTAATTACCTATCGCCCAATTTTGAAAACGTGATTTTAAAAACCGTTCCTAGTAGGTTTTAAAATATATATAGAGTATGTTTGCAACTGAACAAGAAACTTTAATGAAATGGGGTTGCTTACCGCGGCGTCTCCCATTCTTCCTGAATTCGTCCTTTCTACCTCCCCGCCTTCTTTCCTTTGGCCCGGGCATCAGCTTCCGCCTCAATTTCCTCTTGGGCTAACCCTGACGGCGGAAACTCATGATGCCTCTGGGAAATAAGTTAGATTGTTTATGAAACAATTATCAATCCAACGAATCAAGTTCTTCCTGCATTCGTTCTGTCATCCCTTCTCATCATGCCTTCTTCTCTGGGTCGGGCATCAGCTTCCGCCTCAATCTCTTCTATTCCTCGGTCGAACATATCCCTATTAAGCCTTGACGGCGGAAACTGAGCCGGTCTCTCCATAAAGTGAAATTCTTGCTTTCGACAGAATGCCTGTTGAATTAAAGTTTTCAATTTTGCAATAAGGTCTAAATAGCCAAAGATAAGAAGGATAGCTTACCTTTCATATAACCCAAAGAACACGATGGCGTAACGCGTGTTTACCTTAGCTATGACTTGGGACAAAAAACGAAATAATGTAAACGCAAGCAAATTCACAAATATTTTGTAGCAGCACATCTCTCTGTTTCACCTACTTTTGCCGGCCTCTCTCCAAACCCTTTAATCTTGGCCCACACCATATCTCCCGTCACAATATCTATATTTATATTTGTTTTCAACATCTAGTGGAAAATAAAAATTATAGTTATGAAGCAATTTGCAGTATGGTGCTGAATGTAACAAGTCAGGTTGGCAAGCTTCCTTTACCGCGGAAGACCAGGTATTATTCTGGCTGTGGCTAGCTGAGCTATAATTCTAATTTATGTCTTGACATACTGTTAAGTTATTACCTTTCACTGTATATCAACAACAATTTATAATTCCAAACAAAGAAGGCCTATATACGATGGCAAAGAAATTTATACGACCTTCGCTTAGTTGTTGACCATCTACAACTACATCTAAAAACATAGACAAACCCTGCAAAATGTTTGAGAATGGGAAAGTATCGATACGCTGGAACTCAACAGCACTGGTTGCAGAACCTTTTCCATTCAATATCTTAAAATTTAAAACGTATTAATTTGCTTGATAATTTTTTTTGGTCCAAAATATCATTTTTTTCAAAACTATAAAACAGCTATACGAATAAGTATATGGTATGTACCCAAAGGTTTTTATACCAGTTTATAACAATGTGAATTTTTGTTCGAAAAAGTCATTTACGCGTTTTAATAAGTCTAGATTTGATCATTAATAGTATTTTATATCATCAATCATCAGTCATCATATGTATAATTTTATGCGCCTGTTTGTATAAAATATTGGCTCTGCGATAATCGGTTCTACAATGTTTTAAACTATGATTTTTGCAGATCAATCCCTGAAACTTGTTTATTTATAATATTCAAAATCGGAGACGAAAAAAATTCAAACTTAGGTGTGTTTTTTGGCTCTATTTTCGTGTATTGTAGATAGGATTTGCGCTGGCAAATTATTCCCGACTTTGTAAAATGATCTTATAGATATAATAGTTCAGAGTTTTATTGTGTGAAATTAAAGAAATTCACAGCTTTTAATTGAGACACTGAAAACAATCTTAAATAATTGGCACTCTTACCACAACATTATTTATTCTTAAACCGAGGTCGAGGCACTAATTTGTCACGCTAGGTCCTGGATTCGGGGACATGTTTGTTCAGGACTTGAGACCTCATATTTATATTGTCTTCAGGTTTTCAGCTGTAGATGCAACGTTAGCTCCATGGTGTTGAATTGTGCTTTTTTCTTCTCCTGTTCTAACAAAATTGATATATTTCGGCCATTAAGTGCCGGGCACAAAATAAAAATGGAATTGATCTGATTAATAAGCCTGCAGTTACACTGAATTCTTGAAAAGACCTACTTCAGAGTGTTCTGCCTTAAGGGGTTCGTTCCGAAAAATTACTGTGTCCCAGAATTCCGACGACTCTCAAATTTGGCATGCACTATTACTGTTTGAAACTTAATGCAATCAATTTAATTAAAAGTGATCTCAACTCACATGTGCCCATCCAATATGCTAGATGGATCAGTGCGGTGTTAAACCTGCATGTGAGCCACAACACTAGTCTAAAGAGGCAGGTAATTTCAAGATATAATTAATTCGGTATGAAAAAGATTTGATTGAAATGGTTGGTTTCTTTTGCGGAATGAACTTATTTCCTTTTCTCACCACGTTCGCACGAAGGAAAATATTTTACTTCTCCATACACCAACATACATAACGATATAGATGTATATGGTAGGGCACTTGCCTACCCTATATACTGGAGATACACAGATAATTTTATTTTGCATGTTGAACCCGGTTTTAATATACCATGATATAACACATGCATTGAAACCAGAATACATACCTCGGCGTAGCTGAAGATGTAGTTAAAACACCCAGCCGATTGTAAGGTTGACTTCTGGCATGTTGTCTGGTTGTCGACTTTGACTGCATCAATTTTCCTTTTTCTGCAGAGGTATGGCTTAAGCTTTCTTAGTCCGAATTTCGACAGTCGACCTCTGAATTATTTCAGGGATCATCGACTTCATACTAATTTACTGCCAAGCCCCGGCTTCGCTCTTATCAGCAAGTTTGATTTTGTTTTGCCGATTGTGGAATCGGATTTAAGTGTCGTTTCGAATTAACAGCATCGTTTCTTTGTCAAAGCAATCTTCCAGCTCTGCATCGACTGGTCATGATTATCGGTTAACTTGAGATTTTGCCTCCGGATTGTCATCTTCGTGCTTTAATTGAACGGTTCTCAGCTCTATCAACTAAACGGGCGTTTAATTTGAAATATCTCTGTCTAGATAAGGCTCAACTTCTAACATACATTCGGCAGCATCGACATTGAGAGAAATATCGAACAATTCTTTCCCTTCGTTTGACGACGTAACTACACGAAGTGGAGAAGAACAACGTGTTCCACGGCAACGCGATGCATTGTGCCTAATTTGCATCACAAAGATCCACTACTTCCGGAAGAAAATACGCCTTCAGAATAATATATTGTTCCCAAGGGCGTCGTTTTCTCTTACGCATGTTTAAATTATTGCTGAATTCGTCTAGGAATCCCTACAAGTATAGAAAATTATTGTAAAAAGCAAATTTGTCTGCACTCCCTCACATCGACTATTTTAAATCTCAACTCTTACAGACGAAGGGAAATTCTGACTCGCGCCAGGAGATGATTAACAAATATCGTGACTAACAAATAGCTATACCGGATGAGATTGTTGGGGGAATTTAATTATTTGTATCTTTGAATCCATGCATATAACTGTTCAGTTATAAATTAGTCAATTTACACTAAAGTGTGCATGCTAGTATAGAAAGTTACGGCAAAGCCACGCCATGTTACAAAAGTTACAAAAGCCGAGTTATTAGAGAACAACTGCATGTACAGAATATTTTAACGAATTAGCACACTTACCATAACAATTTTTGTCCCACATCCGAGGTCGATCGACCAATAATTAAGTCCTATATTTAAGAACACGTTTTTGGAGACCTCTCATTTAGGTCTTCTTTAATTTCTTCACCTGTAGTTAGCTTCAGGTTCAGCCCCGAATTATTGCATTTCATGTTGCTAGAGGTATTTCTCCAAATTGTAAGGCACGGTTATTAGTTTCGGTAATCCAACAACGTAAAATGGTGCTTTTCGATAAAACGTCTGGAAAATTTCTTGGGTGGCATCTCTTCCAACAAAACTGATGTATTTTCTGCCACGATATATAGATGCCTCGTATAAAATAAAAATATAATTTATCTTATTATTAGGCCTTGCCTACAATTTCAGTCCAATAACATTACTCGATGCAGAATGTGTTTTTCCTACGCCAAATTAACTTGTTCGTTACGTTTCTGAAAAATTGCTGTCCCTTGTAACTCTAAATAAACACTCTCAAATTCTACCTACCGCTTTCTGGTTTAAATTGTCCAGCGCTATTGCATCAAATTTGAAAAGTAATTCCAAGTTACATCTGCTCTTCTGTATAATATGTTTGATTAAACTGTGGGGTTTTAGACCTAACACGAGACTCCACCAGCTTGATAATTTCTAGAATTGAAACAAAATTCGGTATAAAATAGAAGTGTGATATGATATAATTGAACGGACTAGTTTCATTTGC